ACAGCCAGGCCCAGTCTGGAAGGACGGCCAAGACACCTTGGAGAGGAAAGAATTCACAGGAAGTAGCCGCACACTCAGGGCACAGGCACAGCAACACGGTGGCCCAGTGGGGGGCTCGTTTTCAGCATCTAGCTACTCCTTGGTACCTTCTGAATTTTATAGCACTTGAATGCTTTATCTATTGGAAAAGAAATAACATTTCTACATAAACAACTTCATCCAGATGAGGAACCCTCTTTTCTAGTGAAGCCCGTGGCCCAGGGCATTACCCTACTGAGCTGTCTGTCTGAAGGTGAAGATCACCCCTTCCTGCCTTCATTCCCTGGCCTTTAAGGGACCAGGAGCTACAAAGAGACCCTTCAAGACACTGGTTCTCCAGGTCACAGATTAATGTGGCTAGAAACTCATAAATCTTGGATACGACAAAGGAAATTTTGAATATCTTGGGAAACTGCAGATTATTAACACACACTCGCGCGCGTGCACACACACACACACACACTGTATTGTGTCTACTTCGGGAGTGGAAGAAAAAACTCAAATTAGGTCCTTGTCTCACAATGACGAAAAACTGGCTCCACCTGGGAGTAAGACAGGAACAAACTCCTGTCAGTAGGTACTGAAAGAAAAAAATAGGGCTTTTTTGTGGTCTCAGGGAGGGAAAGGCCTTCCTATTCATGGCAAGCATTCAATTGCACAAAACGCCCAGTCACCTCTGTAATTCATTCATGCCATTTTTCTGAAAAGACAGATCTGTCCTAGAAGGTGTGCTTTAGCATGCACCAGCATTGAAAGAAAAAAAAATTTGAGGAAAAAAAAAATCGTGGTTTATTGAAAAATGCCACCTATAAACAAGAAGAGAAAATCCATTTCACTACCATCAGCACAACCAGAACCACAGACCGTGTTCTGTGACCACCGTGGGTGACTAACACTGAGAATGCTCAGCGTGAGGGAGAACGGGGGCCACAGGCACTGTGGTGGTACCTGGGCAGTAGTACCAGCCGGCCCAGCTTTCCCTGGAGGCCAGACGTTAAATGTGTACAGGACAGGACTGCAGTTTCCCGTCAAGGAGGTTATCTTGTGAAGATGTCTGCCCCAAACTCGTGCACAAGGACAGTCATGGGAGGGCTGGTTTTGTCTTGGGAGAAGATGGTTCCGAGGAGCTTCTGCAGACAAGGGGGATCTGAGACAGGACCCGTGGTGTCTAGGCTGGAGGCCAGACAGAGGGTCACCCAGAAAGTGGGGACCTTTTCTCTTTGGGGAGAAAAGGAGGACTGCGGATTCAAGGGCAATGTGACAACCCTCTGTCTTGTCTCTGGTGCTGGGGACCTGCTAGGCAAGTCCTCCACCCCTGAGCTATCGCCCCGCCCTACGCAGGCCACCTTGAGATGCCTGTGGGCTCCCAGCTCTGCTCTTTATCGGCTCCCCAAGGTCCATTTATTGCAGGCCTTGAAGGGGCAGACCTGGCAGTTACGGTCCTGAGTCTACGGAAGGGGGCGAGTTCTGGCCAAGAACACCAGACAGGAGGAACAGAAACCAGGGGGTGAGGAGAAGCAGGGGGAGCCATGAGACTGGGGGGCTTGGAAGTTTCTCCTCAGCTAGGATGCCCTGCGAGCAGGACCAAGATTGGGTAGGAATGCCCCGAGTCCACGTTATACCCAAGAGCCCTCCCCGAGGGAGGCAGAGTGGGTCCTGAGCCCCCTTCACACAGGAACAATGTATTCTGAAGCTCAGGTGGCATCACGCCGCCACCTCTCCTTAAAGGAGACGTGGAGAGGGGAGGTCTGGAAGGTGGGCAGACTGATGTCAGTCTGGTGACGTCAAGACAGTTTATGGTGGTGTGGTCAGTCTCCAGGTCCTGAGGCCTCATGGCCTTCATTACCTGATTGGTAGATAGGGCTGGAAAGTCCCCTAAATTACAGGTTTCTTAAAATACCATATTTCTCTTTATTCAATCTACTTACAGGGGCATTAATCAGCAGTACATAGGTAGACTCACAGCCTTTCCAGGATTCTTGGAGTGACAGGCCTGGAAAGTAGGCACAACTTTTTCCCCCCCTTGGTACCAGGAATTGAACCCAGGGGCACTTAATCCACTTAAGCACACACCTGTAATCTCAGCTACTCTGAAGGCGGAGGCAACAGAATCACAAGTTTAAGGCTAGTCTCAGCCACTTAGTAAGATTGTGTCTCAAAATAAAAAGGATGGGATGTGGCTCAGTAGTAGAGCACCCCTGCGTTCAATCCCCAGTACTGCGGAATTTTTTTCCCTTGTACTTCCTTCATGTCTCCTTTCTACCAACTTATTATCTCTTCTATTTTACCTTAGTTTCGCATACACTAGGGAATACTATGCAGCTCTGAAAAAGAAGGAAGTTCAAAACACACACACACACACATGCATACACACACAAGAAAACCAACCATTAACAATGTGGTCCTGTCAAAGCAAATGGGAAACTGGGTGGGACCACATGGGCCTTGGAGACCAGTCTCAGGCACCTGGACTTGGTCATGCAGGCCAGAGGGAGTGAGGTGAGGCAGAGAGTTGATAATCACAAGTATCAACAGGTCTCTGCAGGTAGATTGTGGGAGGAGGAAGGGACAGGAAGCCTCTGCTCCCTCCCAGATGAAGACAGGGAAGTGAAGGCAGGAAAGGGCAGGAAGGAAGTAGCTGATTTAGTGACCCAGACAAGGTACCAGCCATCACAGAGTCGAAGTGGCGAGGCAACCATGAATACGGACGTAGGATTTATGATTCAAAAGGCAGAAAGCACAGGATTTGGGGGTAAAGGGGATGATGGGGGTGGGAGCTCCAACCTGGGCGACAGCACAAGTGAGCTGTGGGGAGGGGAGGAGGTGGGGAGGCTGGAAGCAGGCAGGTTGGTCTCCGTCTCCTCAGATCAAACAGAAATCCCAGGATCTGGGCTGAGCAGAGACCATGCCCACTGAGGCCCCTAGAGGGCCTTGGCAGTGTTCAGAGGATTCCAAATACAGAACGAAACTCCCCTCTCAAGACTGTGGGGAGGCCTCCTCTCCTTCAGCCAGCTTCAGAGCGAGGAGTCTGAAGTTGAGCCCAGCAGGACCCCGATGGGGGGTCTGTGAACACAGCATACGCCTGGCTGGGCCCTGAGGTACCAGGAGGCAGCTAACTCCAAGCCTGCTCGCAAGAGCCACCCTTGGGAGGGCTGCAGGGGAGCAGCCCGATGGCAGGCAACCCTGGAGGTGCCTGCAGAAGGCTGGAGTGGACAGGGGCAACTCTGAGCTTGAGTAGGCCTGGAGAGGCGATGGGGAGCAGTCTGGTAAGGGCAGGGCAGGGCACTCCCTGTCACTGTGGCCCAAAGCAGAGAAGGAAGGTGGAGAGACAGGGCCAGACAAGGCCAAGTCCAGCCAATGGGTCTTTTCCTTCTCTCCCTCCCTCCCTCCCTCCCTCCCTCTCTCTCTCTCCCCCCCTCCCTCCCTCTCTCTCTCTCTCTCTCTCTCTCTCTCTCTCTCTCTTGCAGTTCTGGGGACTGAACCCAGGGCCTGTCCATGTGAGGCTAGCTCTCTATCAACTAAGCCATGTCCCCAGCCCCAGCTAGTGGGCCGTATCTCCTGGGCTTAGTTCCTCTGTTCACTTCATTTATCATCTGAAAACAGTTTATAAAATAGGGTGCCAGCAGCAAGCCTGGAAGATGGGAAAAGCAAAGGCCGGAGCTGTAGCTAGCTCGGTGGCAGAGTTCCAGGGTCCCGTCCAGTACCTCCAGAGGAAGAAAAAAAGAATTTGCGAAGTACCTTTCCTCCGTTCTATTAAGATAACTGATGGCAAAGATGAATGCTGAACAGAAAATAAAACAGAAAGATGAACTAAGAGTTAGGGAGGCAGCAGGATGGGGTGACCAGCTGAGGTCTGAATGAAGAGAAGGAAACTGTCACCAAAGTTTGGGGAGGAAGCCCCAGTGAAAAGAGGGCAGAAGCTAAGTATACAAGGCCGCATTTTGCTAATAAGACCATATTGAGCTGGGTGCAGTGACACATGTCTGTGATCCCAGAGACTTGGGAGCCTGAGGCAGGAGGAGTGAGAGTTCAAAGCCAGCTGTTACCGCTGTCGACCAGTGATGAGTCCCTGCTTCCATTTAGAGTGGAAAATAGAAGTTTATTAAAGGACAGCAGAAAAGACTTTTCCCGGAGGAAGAAGGGGACCCAAGAGGTGGAATCCGTGGAAGTGCGGTTGTTTCCCCTTTTTATAGTTTTCGGTGATGGAATGTAGGTGGGAGGCCGAGGGGTGGGACATAGGTGGGCCAAAGAAGTAATCTGGGCACTTCAAGTGTGCTGTTCATTAACACTTCAGCATCTTCAAGTTTGCTGTTCATTAACCTTTCTTTGGGATGGGCTATCTTCAAATCTGTTGGGGGCTGTTTCCTGGACTTCATTAACATTTCAAGAGTTGCTCAACTTTTCCGGGAATTCATTCTCACCATGGCCTCCATTTTAGATTTCACTCGATATTAGACCCAATTTACCTAACTACACTGACTACCTAATTTTAAATCTGGCTTCACAGCCTCAGCAACTTAGAGAGGACCTGAGCAACTTAGCGAGAAAAGAAACAGGCTAGGATGTGGCTCAGAGGTTATGCAATCCTGGGTTTGATATCAAATAAAATAAAGAAAAACATGTTAAGAAAATCAGGGGGCTGGGGTTGTGGCTCAGCGGTAGAGCGCTCACCTAGCAGTGTGAGGCCCTGGGTTTGATCCTCAGCAGCACATAAGAATAAATAAATAAAATAAAGGTATCGTGTCCAACTACAACTAAGAAATAGTTTTAAAAAGGAAAAAGAAAAAAAAGGCTCTTTCTTCCTTCCAGTTGTGAAGAACTCATTAGTGAGTTGCACTTTCCGTTCTCTTCCTGGGGCAGGGGCTGGGTTCAGGAACTGGGCAGGAGGCTTCCTGGAGCTGCGGGGAAGATGGGGCGCCCGCAGGACTCCAGGAGTGAGCACTAGGGGGAGAAGCACCTACCTGCCCCGGGGGGTCACGTCCAGGAAGAACTGCACAAGAGCCAGCAGGTTGTGGTGGTGGTCGGACACCCAGCTGAGGGCACAGCACAGAGGCTGGAGCTGTGGGGACAGGGGACACCTGGTGGGCTACTTTCCATTCTGACCTGCCACCCAGCCTACCTGGGGGCGAGGGCAAGGTGGAGGCCAGGACGTCCCCATCCAGGGTGCTCTGGGGACGCATCCCCATCCAGGGTGCTCTGGGGCCACCCTTGGTTCCCAGAGACAGAGCCCTAGGGGTCAGATGCAGCGCTGGGGTACCTTCCCCGGCCATTCGCGGATGTTCTCCAGGAGCAGGAGCAGGAGCTGCTGGAGGTCGCTCTTGGGCATCAGGCGGAGCCCCACGTCCAGGCTGGCGCGACAGAGCAGCTCTATGAGGCCCAGGAGGTGTGCGTCTGTGTAGGCCCCCGGCTGGGCTAGGGCACACAGCGTGAGGAACTGGAAGGAAAGGGGTCGGAGGGGCCACATGATGTGGGAAGAAGGGCCTGTGGCGTCTGGTTCCCTGACAGATGGTCAGGAGGGACTCGCGCCATGAGCCCCTGTGGCCGTGCTGAGAGGAGTGGGAGAGAATGAGCCTCGAGGCCTGGAAGAGGTCTGGGGCCCTGGGGCAGCGCAGGCCCAGGGAGGGCAGTCTCCGCACGGGTGCCAGCAGCTGCAGGGCACCTGCCGCAGTGCTGAGCCAGCGCACGGGGTACAAGGACGCTCCAGAGCCAGACTGCTGAGCTGCGGCCAGGCAGGGTGAGGCCTGACTCACCTTGTAGATGTAGCTCAGGCTCAGGTCCAAGGCCACCGCCTGGGGAGGGTCCTGCTGCTGCAGCCAGCTCAGGCTGGCCTCGCTTTCCAGTAGTCTAAGGTAGAACAAAAGGACAACAACGCAGGTGACAAGGTGTGAGAGGATACGGGGCAGAGGGGGAGTGAAGGTAGAAGACGAGGGTGTCCAAGGCCACCACCCCTTGGCATTGGCTTTCCAGAGGAGCCAGCGCAAGGTCTGCCTGCCTTCAAGATGGTGGGTGGGGTTGCAGCCATCTTGGGCGTGACTGGGCAGGGACAGTGGCCTCCGAGCCCCTCATCTAATGGCAGGATCTAGCTCCTGGCTACACAGGTTCCTCAACATGAGAGCTGGCGCCCCCAAAGCCAGTGGTGTGTGCCGGTGCGCATATACACACACACACACTCACACTAGAGAGAGAGAGAGAGGGAGAGAGAGAGGGGGAGAGAGAGGGAGAGGGAGAAGGAGAAGGAGGGGGGTAGAGGAAGGGAGAGAGAGGGAGGAAGGTGGGGAAAGAGGGAGGTAGGGAGATGGAACACTTGAGCACCCTTAGAGCAGAGCCACAGCCTATCACAGCCTGATCTGTGAAGTGACATCCGTTGCTTCTGCTGATTTCTACTAGTCACACAGGGCAGTCTGTCTTGGTGGGGAGTGTGGACACTGGGGGGTGGGGACCACCATGGGGCCAGCTCTCACATGCGTTCCATGTAGACTGAGCTCGCCAGTCTTGGCTTTCTGGGACTTGGGAACGGGACTTCATGCCCAATCCCTCCCCTCAAGGGTCTTCCTCAGGAGTTCTCTTTCTGAAATTCAATGATGCACTGAAAAGCCCACCATCTGGGGCTGAGGTGGTGGGTCTGTCCCTAATCAAGCAGGGCCAACTTCAGAATAAAAACCACCCTAGAGAACCCCTTCCAGGTGCGGCCTCGATCTGACAGCTGCCTGAGACAAACACAGCAGAGCTGGGTCCCTAGTGGTGGGAGGGATCTGCTGAGCTGTAGCTAGGTCCAGGGGTCAGGGCCAGGTGACGAAATCCCTTCTTTAAAGATGAGGGTCACACTGAGAGTGGTGAGATTCTTATGGCAAAAGTGACGCCAGTGAACAGCACATTCATGTCATCCTTCCCATGAGCTTCCGGTGCACACTCACTGGATAAGACAGCACACTCACCCTCACTGAATTATTCCGTTTCTGACAAACGTACATTGGAAATATACACACACACATTTTTATATATTAATGTCTCTTTTTTTTTTTTGTATTGGGGATTAAACCAGGGGCACTTAATACGGAGCCACATCCCCAGCCCTTTCTGAGTCAGGGCCTTGCTAAGTGGCTGAGTCTGGCCTCAAATTTAGAACCTCCTGCCTCGGCCTCCCAGGTCATTGGGATTATAGGCATGGACCACCACACCTGCCTGGTCATGTTGATTTTAAATAAGTGAGTTTCCTTATAAGAAGGCTCCCATTTGCTGTGTTTGCTGTCTCTTCTAAACTAGCTCATGGTTCCTGATAACAGGGGGTTCTCAGTGACTGAGATGCTGGTGATAATAATGTTGTTGAAGGCAGCAGCTCTGGTGTAGCCAGCCTGGCCACGGGAACGGGAGGAGCGCTGTCCCTGAAGCTCTGGGAAACGCCTCTGCTCATCTTCACCTCTTGGTGCTGGTGCTTCTGCTTGGAGGAGGAGAGATCCCTCTCCTAGGCATCTGGAAAGTTGGTGCCAATGGACCAAAGCTGGTGGTGGGGAGGTTGGCTGGGTTCAGCCCTGCTTCCAGATTTTAGCATTTATTAGGGCAGGGAATGGGCGAGGCTGGCATTTGCACATCTGGGCACAGGCTGGGCCTGTGTCAGTGTGTGAGGGGGCACCCTACTTCGTACCAGCTTGAGCAGGCACCCGGTACACAAAAATGGGGGGCACGTCTTCAGGTTTCCCACAGGGTGAGGCAGCCGGAGTCTTCTGTAGACAAACAGGCTGCAGACAGTCTGCTGCTGCCAAGGGAGGAGGAAAGCAGAAGTGTGAGCTGGTGACACGTCTTCTCTGAGCGGTGGAGGGAGTGCGGCTGTGACAGTGCTCTCTCCTGCCTGAGAAGGCATGCCAGTCTTGCCAAGTGCAGCGGTCTCCCGCTCTAAGTACCGTCATCTCCCCAGTCCTTGTCCTTGGGAATAGCAGGGGAACAGGGAACAGAATGGGGGTCCTTGGCTCCCACCTTTCTGAGCAGTTGCTGGAGTGCCCTGGTAGTATCTGTGACCACCATTCTGAGATGCAGCTTCGTGGGGTCCCCAGGACTCCACCAACTGCTCCAGCGAGAGGCCAAGGAGCCCAGGGGAATTGCTGGCCCACCAATCCTTGCTCCCTCCTGGACTCAGCAGGTTAAGAGTGAACTTATGGTCCCTTGTTGGGACTTGGGAACCAGGACATTATACCCCAGCCTGCTGGCCCTGCCTCAGCTGTGGCTTAGGGCTCATAGTCTGCAGCCAGGAGCTGAAGCTTAGGTCTGGGTGACACTGATCTCTGACCTCTACCTGCTTCTATATCCATCTTCCCCACATGTTGAAAAATATCTATAACTGAGCATCTTCACCTCCCCCTCCCCAGGAGGACGAGGGAAGGGTCTCCAGGCAGAAAACCTCCTGCTCCCAGAGGGTAGATGGTAGTATCTGGGCCCTGCTGCCACCACCATCAAGAGCTATCTGGCAGCAAGCAGGATGCCCTCCGCAGGGCTGCACCCAACTGCAGCTGTCCCTCTTGCCATGGTGAGGAATGGCCACCAAGCTAAGGGAGGGGGCAGGAAGGCTAATTTTACCTGGATTGAATTACACCATCAAAAGAGGTCATTATCAACTGCCCCGTGCTGGACAGGATGTCCTTTCAATGTGCTAACTATCATTTATTTATCTGTCTGGCCTCTGCACAGGGCTGTCCTGACAGCCAGGCCCATGGATCTGAGCAGGACTCATCATCTGGTTTTGTGCTCAGGAAGCAGCCTTGGGAGACCAGCCATAGCTGGACGGTCCCTGTGTTCCCCCGTGAGACCGGAGCACTGATGAGCCCATTTTGGGTGGCAGTGTGGGCGTGAGCCCCTTCCCAAGGGTGCTAATGCTCTGGCTCCTCCTCCTCTGCCCCTTTGACCCCATATATTCCCTGTTTTCCATCCCCAGCCTTGTGACTGGGCAGGGACTGCTTATTTTCAACAAGTGGACACCTGGATGACCGCAGGGTTCAGCTGTGGAAGGACTGTATCCTTCTGAAAGAAAATCCTGAAGCACGTTCAGATAAAAGATGGTGATGGATTTGAAAGAAATCTGAGATTAAAAACCAATAGTGAGGGGCTGGGGATGTGGCTCAAGCGGTAGCGCGCTCGCCTGGCATTCGTGCGGCCCGGGTTCGATCCTCAGCACCACATACAAACAAAGATGTTGTGTCCGCCAAAAACTAAAAAATAAATATTAAAAAAAAAAAAAAAACCAATAGTGAGGGCTGGGGTTGTGGCTCAGTGGTCGAGCGCTTGCCTAGCGTGTATGAGGTACTGGGTTAGATTCTCAGCACTGCATATGAATAAAATAAAGCTCCATCAATGTCTTAAATCAAAAACCAATGGAGAGGCTATAATCCCAGCAGTTTGGGAGGCTGAGGCAGGAGGGCTGAGGCAGGAGGACCATGAGTTCAAAACCAGCCTCAGCAACTTAGGCCCTGAGCAATTCGGTAAGACCCTTTTTCTAAATAAAATAGAAAAAAGGACAGGAGATGTGGCTCAGTGGTTAAGTGCCCCTGGGTTCAATCCCTGGTACCCAAAAGAACAAAAACAAAAACACAATAGGAAGGTTGGGCATCGTGGCACACACCTGTAATCCTAGTGACTTGGAGGACTAAGGTAGAAGGGTCACAAGTTTGAGGCCAGCCTCTAAAACTTAGTATGACCTTATCTCAAAATAAAAAATAAAAAGGGCTAGGGATGTGGCTCAGCGATAAAGCACCCTGGCTTCAATCCTCAGTACCCCCCCCCCCCGCGAAAGCAGTGAAAGGCACATCTTCCTCATAGCAACCAGAGGGACAGCTGGGTCACGGGGCCTGTGCACAAACAGCCCTTCATTTCTAGCCTTCGTCATTATAAGGCTCTGTAGTGTGCCCCTCCCCCAAAGATACCCAGAGGCATCTCTTCTGTGGGGAAGTCCTACATGAGGACCACCCTAGAAGGCATCAGAGAAGAAATGCCTGGCGTGGAGTCATTGACACAGGGCAGGCCTCTAGTGTGGTCAGGAGCAAGAACGGGCAGGCCATAGGGAGAGGGTGCTTCTTGGCGATTGCTCCTGCGGCCTACCTCCCTGAGGATTGTTGAACCCTGCTGGGGAGGTGCTGAGCCTTGCTGGTGTCTCCTGAATGTTCTGGAGGAGCTGTCCCCCAACCCCATGGCACCATCCAGGGCCTTCCCAAGCGCTGTGGCAGCCAGCCACCCAAGGAGTAACTGAGCATCTTCACCTCCCCCTCCCCAGGAGGACGAGGGAAGGGTCTCCAGGCAGAAAACCTCCTGCTCCCAGTGGCTTGGCAGGTGGACCTCAGCCTGCTCTTACAAGGCTCAAGCTGGGACCTTTCCCATGGCCATCAGCCAATCCTCCAGGACAGCTTGGAATCCTCCTGGGGGAAACGGTGTCAACGGCCGGGTTAAGGTCTGGGGTCCGTGGAAAGGAGGCAGGGGGTCAAAACAGCAGGTGAGGGCATGAGACCACACAGCTCTGAGCTCTGCCCTAGGACAGCACGGCTCCCTGTGCCTGAAGAAGCTGGAGGCCTGCGTGCTGGGGTTTGTGGAGCAGTGCCGAGATGATGTGCTTAAATGGCAAGAGTTCAGAGCCAGGTAGGTATGGTGGCACATGTCTGTAATCCCAGCAGCTCATGAGGCTGAGGCAGGAGGATCAGGAGTTCAAAGCCAGCCTCAGTAATTTAGTGAAGCCCTAAGTAAGAGAGCCTATCTCTAAATAAAATATTAAAAAAGGCTGGGGATGTGGCTCAGTGGTTAAGTGCCCCTGAGTTCAATCCCTGGTACCAAAAAAAGGGCCACAATTCTAACGCCCACCTGCCCCCTGCAGCCTCTGGAGACAGCCGAGTTGCTCCGCAGTGTGAAGGGCAGGAAGCAGTCACACCTTGGCAGAACCAGTAAGAGAGGGGAAGGGGAAAGTGGCTTTGGAGTGTGGAGTCTAACCTGGTGGTAGATGGTTTCCAGGGCCACCTCCCACTTTCCAGGGAGAGCTCGGGGTTCATCCAGCAGTCAGAAGTAGCTCTTCTGATCCCCTCCACTGGTCTCCCACTCCATGTGCATTTGCTTTTTGGAGTGAAATTCAAATTTCCCCCACTCATCTGAGACAGGGGTGTGACTGAAGCTCTGCATTAGGAAGCGGCAAGTGGCTTCTTACACCAGATACGGACACCGGGCTCCGGGGAGAGGGGCAGGAGCGCTGGCTGGCACACGCGTGGGGTGTTTCCAGCAGAGCTGAGTGCGGCTAGCTTGGCAGACAGTTACTAAACAGTCGTAGAGCAGGTTCTTAAGGAAGCGCCTGCTTTTCCTGAGGAGGAACATCGCCAGTCAGCCACCAGTAGCCAGGGAGAGGCACCTCCTGGGCTAGAGGGACTGTTAGCTGGATGCTTGGTGGGAGCTCCTCAAAGAATCCTCCAGGAAGCCAGATGTGCCAGGATTTGCAGAACAAGATCATAACACTTTTACAGCCTGGATGTGGCCACTATCTGCTGATGACAGTTATGTGCGTATTGTGTGGCGCTGTCCTTTCCAGGGACAGTGCACATGCAAATTAGCATCACCGTCCACCAACTACCACACTCAGCCCAGGCGCAAAGTGGGCACACGAGAAACAAGAGAGCACTGTGGAAATGACAGGGAAAACCGCCTTGCTGTGTTCCAGCTGCCGTCAGCAGTGGACCCACCAAGAGCCCTGGAGCAAGGCTTGCGAGATGGGGACACGTCTGGGGAGCTCCCAACCATCCGAGAAGTCTGGGCTCCACCAGGAGGTGGGGAAGCGAGGTCTCACTCAGCAAGTGGCTGAAACAAACACTTGATGAAGAGGTGAGGCTCACCTACCCCATTCTCCCCAGGCCTGAGGCTGGGCGCATGGGAGCACACACGCCAGCCCTGGACAGATCTGCATTTCCAGGTGGCACATGCCACTGCTCTGAAGCTCCCCACCCTGAGGGCTAGAGCCAAGCCCAGTAACTGGTGATCAGAGGAAAGGCAGCAGAGGGGAAGGGAGGAAGAGGAGGCACCCACCTGCTGCCATGCTGAAAGGGCCCCAGCAGGTATAGGGCAGGGTTGTGGGCTCCCAGGCTATGGAACACCTCCATGACCTCCTGCAACGAGGGGTACCACAAGCGCATGTCTTCATCTGTCAGGACAAAGGAGGGCAGAGAGTCGGCTCAGAGAGAGGAGGGAAAGGCCCACTCCTCTCTCCAGAAGGCTGCCACAGGGATGTCTGGCGCAAGGCAGCCCCTTCCTGCTTCATCTGGCATCGCAGGTGTTATCATCAGACAGGAAGCAATGAATGGTTTCCGGACACTTGCTGGAGCTCTGCGAGCCTGTGCATGCTTTATCAGTCTTCAAGGTATGGCTACAGACAGGTGCAAGGGCCGAGGTGACGGTGCCCTGAGCATCCATGCTAGGCAGCCATTGGGTGCTTAGCTGCTCACAGCTAAGTGACACAAGGAGTCCTGAACCAAAGGCTCCGAAACTTAAGTTTTAGAGGACACTAGCCTCTAGTCAGGTATGGCGACATCTGCCTGTGATCCAAGCCACTGGGGAGCCTGAGGCAGGAGAATCATTGAGTTTAAAAAACAAAAAGAAAGAAGAGGCAATGCTAGCTGCAGTAGGCCCCAGCCCTCTGCTACCAGGGATACAGCCTGCTGTGGCTTGTCACTGCCCTCACTGTCACATCTGGGTGCTCCCTGGGCCTCTGCCTGCCAGCGGCATGCCTTGCTGCCCTGTCTTTTGGGCAACAGTGGCCCATAGGTACAGTCTCTCCGCACCAATTCAACAAGACACGCAGGACAATCTGCCCAAATCAACACAGACGGAAAGTTGTGTGTACACAGCGCCTTTTCTCCTGTCAGACCATTTAAGGGCACTGTCACGGCCAAGGGAGTAGAAAAATAACAAACAATGTGGTCAAGCATATCTTCCAAAGATGGCCACGTCGAGGTGGCCCATCTCGCACCACGGCTCCCCCCGCCCCCCTCACCAGGAGGCAGCGTCCACAGCTCCACCCTGCCGGCCACTCCTTCATGTCGTCTTACTCATCAATTCCCTGGCTTCTTGCCGGCCTCTCACCACTTGAATGCAAATTCTATGGAGGCAGAGGCCACATCTGTGTTGGTCATCTCCATGTGCCCAGGGCCCAGAGCAGTGGCCAGGGCACAGGGGAAGCTGAATAAATGAATGAGCGAACGGATGACAGGGATCCCAAACAAAGCACAACCTAGTTCTTCACAACTAAGAGGGGAGCTGTAGGTAGTCACAGGATGAGCTAGCAGTGTCGAGGACACAGATGTTGTCAAATGTTACACTTGACAATGGACAAGGCCATTGTCAAGACCCTGGCAGGCTGGGCTCAGAGCCATGAGCTCTGTCAAACCACAGCCGTTTCTGGAGGGTGAGAGTTTGGGAGAGTTCTGCCTTCAGGGCCCATGGTGTGCAGAAACTAGCCAGGTGTGAAGGGTCAACAGGGGCCCAGGGGAGACCCTGACTTTGGGCAGCTCACAGTGCAGGAGGGAGAGGAGCCAGCTAGGTGAATGAGCACGAGTGAGCGCATCTGTGACAACCAAGGCAGGAGAAGGTTACAGAACGTGCTCAGAGGAGGGGGACCTGATTTTTGGTGGACAGCAGGAACAAACAAGGCACCTGTCACAAGAGAGGGGAAGGACGTTCCAGCAGTGGGACAGACTTGATGAAGGCAGAGTAGCATGAAAGAGTGGCGGGGCAGAGACCAGAGACAAGCACAGGGCACAGAGCAGGGCAGGCTAGGCAGGGCCAGGGCTTCTGCAAGGACGACCGCCAAAAGCAAGCTTCCTCCACTCAGGGGTACAGCGAGCCCTGCCTGCTGTAGTCTGGCAGATAGCAGAATGCAGGCCCAGGGGCTCTGAGAACAGTCTAAGGACATTTCTTCCACAGACATCGAGTGTCTCTTTGGAAACGGATATGGGTCAGGACTCACCAACAAGCAATCAGACTCTCAGCAGAGAAAGAACTTTCTCGTTTGTTTTTTCCCTTTCGTGACAATACCTCTGGCCTGCTGCACAAATGAGCCGGGAAGAAGGAGGTATGCAGGGCACAGGGGGACCACTACCAGTGCCTCTGGGACTCACGCAGGTGGAAGACGGACACATAGGTGCATGGCTGCTGAAAAGCCCCATGAAGGGAAGTAGCACCCACCTACCAGAGCCCAGCTCGGAGCTTGGCGCTGTCCCCCTCCCCTCTCCCCCACCCAGTGATCACTCTGCACTGCAGAGGACCCTGGCCGACATGGGGGCAGTTTCAGAGGAGGTTGCCCAGATGCCCTGGGATAAATCAGTCCCCGTCAACAGCCCTGGAAGTTGGTAACATGATGACAGGAAAATCCCACCCCAGAGCCCATAATTAACACTGTCTGTAAGTAGGCCATGCGCTCAGCTTTTCCTCAGCACTGTTTGTCCCAAATGAGAAATTTCTGGAGAGCTGACATGGAAGGAAACCCAGACGTGAAGTGGCCAGGCCCCGCCCCCTCACTCAGTTTCTCCCGCACAGCTCTTCTGGAGGAGTGCTGGGGCAGTGCCTGGGCACAGGGCCTTTTAAAATGCCAGCGTAGGCAGCCCCTGGCAGCTGGGCTCTGTCCAGAGGCCAAGACTGAAAGCAGCCCTTAGGTGCCTCTCCTGGGATGGGAGTGATGTTCTGCGGGGTAAAGAAAGCACCAGGTCTAAAATAAAAGCCACCTTTTCGTCTGGGTTGTGCAGGAAGCTACCTGACCACTGCTCCAGGCACGGTGGTGCGGAAGGGCAAATCCACACTCATCCCAAGAACCTGCGCTGGCCCCAGGGCTCCAGGCCTGGCTCCCTGCTCCCCTCCCTGTGCTCAGCTGGGGCCCCGAAGGTGTGTGGGTAGTAGGCAGGTCCCGAGGCTGCAGGCCTCTGGTCTTATCCTTCTTGAGCCACCCCCAGGGTACATAGCTAGGAGTGTAGGGCTGGCTGCATTAGAGGGCCACGTGGTGCTATCTGCCGGGTCCTGAGTATCTGTGGCCACCCCTGACAGGAGGAGGGAAGGTTTCCATCACTTTTTCATTTTTTTTTTGCAGTGCTGGGGACTGAATCCAGGGTTTGCCATGTGAGGCAAGTGCTCTACCACTGAGCTACGTCCCTGGTCCCCCATTGCCCTTATGCGGGGAAGGGGCTGGTTCCTGGAGGATAGGGGGCTGGCCTCCAGACTGAGTCCTGATCCTCCCGGGGTCGGGGGCTCATAGCAGTCACCGGAGGCCTTAACTGTATTTCATATCGCAACTCTAATTCCTGAACTTCCCGCAGCACCTTTGTACTTAAATTGACACTTGGTCAGTGAGCTTTAGTTTCATTTAAAATGTTTATTGCGGGGCGGGGGCTGGGGCTGTAGCTCAGTGGTAGAGCGCTTGCCTAGCATGTGTGAGGCACGGGTTTCGATTCTCAGCACCACATATAAATAAATAAAGGTCCATTGACAACTAAAAGAAATATTTAAAAAAATAAAATAACATGTTTATTCACTCCCAAATGGGAACTGAACTCGGGAGCTGTTCTAGTCCTTCTGGGACCCAGCAGAGAGGAGAGGTGACAGGGTCAGTGAGGGACACACCACACACGTACATCTCAGGCACATTCTGGCCAAGATGGCCTGGGGGCAGGGGGACACTGGAGCAGGCCTCCCGAGGGATGCGGGTGACAAGGCTGTAGACAGGAGAAAGAGCCTCACAGACCAGACGGAGGCCAGGGGTTGCATGCAGGTGCTGAGGGAGGTGGAGGAGGGGTGAGGGGGACAAGCAAAGGTGAAGGGCAAAGGGAAGCAGAAGGTCTGAGGATCTATGTCCTCAGTGAGAAGGCAGACCTGCACCAAGCCCTTTGTAATTTAGTCGTGTGTGTGTGCGATGTTAGGGACAGAACCAGGGCCTCACCCGAGCTGCAGGTGCTCTACCGATGAGCTTCACCCCAGCCCTCGAGTCTGTTTGTTTTTTGATTTGGTTCCAAGGATTGACTCAGGGGTGCTTGATCGCTGAGCCATATCCCCATCCTTTAAAAATTTTATTTAGAAACAAGATCTTGCTTAGGGCCTCACTAAATTGCAGAGGCTGGCTTTGAACTCTCAATCCTCCTAACACAAAGACATAAAATCCTAGTCTCTTTAAACCCCAGTGGGTTTTGCTTTTTATTTTGTTCTTTGGCTCTGTGTAGCCTAACCTAATTCCAGCAGGTGTGAGTTGTGCCGGTCGGTGCAGTGCATCTCTATCCTGCACACTGGGGCCTCCAAGACTTACTTGCCTCAGCCTCCTGAACTGCTGAACTACAGGTGCGTGCCACCATACCTGGTTTCAACTCTGGGTTCTCCCCCCCTCCCCACTATTTGTTGTAGCCATTTTCAGGTACCTTAATGACCTTAATGACTTCAGTGTCCTTACGACTCGTTACATGGCCTCACTATTGACAGCTGTTTCTAAAATTTCTGCAGAAACACTTGCAGGTAAGCAGATTCACCAGCTGGCTAGCGAGTCTGGGTTTTAAAGCCACATACACTCCACCACCTGACCTTCAGTGTCAGGGCAGCACAGGGCACCGTGTCCTTCCCGACACCAAGCCAGTTCTTCCAGGGGGATGCTTATGAATCCTGAACTGGTCCCCGTTCTTGGTCTCTCCCCTCCTTTTCAAGCCCCAAACCTACATTCTTTCAGAATGGGTTCTGTTTCCTCTCTGTCCTACTAGTAGCTCCACAGGGTCTTGACTTCCCCTAGTCTTCCCACTCACCCTGAGCCTCAGGCCCTCCCTTTGTGTCCTGCTCTGCTGTTACCCACCCTACACTCCACCCCCATCCTGGAGGCCCTGGCCTGTCTGTTCCTGAGACAGTGTACCAGGGGAGGCCACCTCTCCTCTCTCCTGGCCTCTGTAACTCACACCACTGCCTGTGTCATCTGACACCGTAAGTCTTGGAGGCCCCAGTGTGCAGGATAGAGATGCACTGCACCGACCGGCACAACTCACACCTGCTGGAATTAGGTTAGGCTACACAGAGCCAAAGAACAAAATAAAAAGCAAAACCCACTGGGGTTTAAAGAGACTAGGATTTTATGTCTTTGTGATTAAAAAAGAGGCCTGCAGTGGGGCAGACCACACTTGGTGCAGG